CAGCAGTGATGGTTGCAACTATTTTTCATGTGAAGGAAAGAGATTTTTAGTGCAATAAATAAAATAAGCACATGAACAACAACAACAGAAAACAAAACCCAAAGAAAAGCCAATACATGCGCTTCAAGGACTGCAGCAAGGTAGATTATGAGGCAGTGGCTCTTTCTCAATGTATTGGGTTTACGTGTCAAGGTTTTGGTAGTGGAGGGAGCTGCAGGGGTATTTTCTGTGAGAAGGTGCCAGAAGCTGCCTCCATGCAACCAAGAGAGAGGAGTGAGAACATGTGAGAGAAACAACCCTGCGGACCCCCAGGTCAGTGCAGAAGGAGGGGAGGAGATGCTCCAGGTGCCGGAGCAGAGATTCCCCTGCAGCCCGTGGGAAAGACCATGGTGAGGCAGGCTGTCCCCCTGCAGCCCAGGGAGGTCCACGGGGGAGCAGATCTCCACCTGCAGCGCAGGGAGGACCCCACGCCGGAGCAGGGGGATGCCCGAAGGAGGCTGTGACCCTGTGGGAAGCCCACACTGGAGTAGGCTCCTGGCAGGACCTGCGGATCTGTGGAGAGAGGAGCCCATGCTGGAGTGGTCGATTCCTGAAGGACTGCAGCCCACGGAAAAGAGATGTGGAAGGGACCCACACTGAAGCAGTTCATGAAGAATTGCAGCCCATGGGAAGGACCCACCTTGGAGAAGTTCATGGAGGACTGTCTCCCAAGGGAGGGACCCCACAGTGGAGCAGGGGAAGAGTGTGAGGTGGAAGGAACGGCAGAGACAGTGTGTGAACTGACCACAACCTCTATTCCCTGTTCCTCTGTGCTGCTCAGGGGGAGGATGTGTGGAAAATTGAGAGTGAAGTTGAGTCCAGGAAGAAGGGATGGGTGGAGGAAGGTGTTTTAAGATTTGGTTTTATTTCTCATTATCCTACTCTGACTTGATTGGCAGTGAATTAAACCAATTTTCCCCAAGTTGAGTCTGTTTTGCCTGTGATGGTAACTGGTGAGTGATCTCTCCCTGTCCTTATCTCGACCCACGAGCCTTTCGTCATATTTTCTCTCCCCTGTCCAGCTGAGGAGGGGAATGACAGAGCGGCTTGGTGGGCACCTGGTGTCCAGCCAAGATTAACCTGCCACACTCAAGCTGTTTCTTAAGTTCACATTCACAGCTGAGGTCTCCCATTGCAGTTGACCAGAGCATGTGTGAACACACCTTGCTTTGGTAGAGCATGTACTTAAAAGCTCATGCTTTCCATTTGTTGTACCTACCTGGGCATCTGTGTAGCTTTTCAGGTAAAAGAATTCAGTAAGAAAATACCAGAAATGCCAGTATTAACTGCTGCTGCTTTAGCAATTGCAATAAATATAACAGGGCATCATTGTTTGCTAGGTGGGGAGAAGGTTGAGCTGATATCAGAAGAAGTTGGGTTGTCCTGTCTTCTGCCAAGGGGATTCTGCTGGAAAGCAAATGAGGAAAATAACTGGAAACTGTAAAAATGTTTTTGGCAATATCCAGTTACGGAAGCATAGGAGAAACAATTTGCACATAGGATTCTGTAACATATGCACCGCAAACTCTTCACAGCTTTCAGGACCCACAGTGTAAGTAAAAGCCACATTTTCCCAGTTGTGGCCCTGAATTCTGTGTTAGTGTTGGGGCATACGAAGTATTTACTGGGTATCGGCAACTTCATACTCCTTCTTGGGGAATCGTAATATTTTAGCACTCACTTTATGTGGTCAAAGACATTTAATTTTTTATTAGACACAAATATACTTCACATTCACTTTCTTTCACAGCCTTGGTATGTCTTCATTTAGCTTGGCAGTACAGATGCATTTTTGCTTTGCTTTCTGCTGCTGTTTTTAAATTGTTTTGCTTGTCTGCTTGAACTGCTGAATCCTCCATGAATAGTTACAACATCTCTGCTTGATGTGTGGAAGCTTGAAATTGGAGCTGTTAAAACAACCTCCTTGTTACTACTTTCTTTTATTTTCTAAAACAAAAACAAAATAAAACCAGAACTGGCAACATGCTGTAACATGAAATAAAAGTCCAGGGGCAGGAAACTGCAAGCCAGATTCAATGCAGTTTTCCAAGATAAGCCATTCTCCAAGCATTGCATTTTCAAAGTAATTGTTTGGAAAGTCTGACCAAAGGTTGCATCTGCCTTTGTTTTTTCATTTAATTTGCACTTGTTTGAGGTGTGGGGATGATATGGTGAGCTCTGTTAGATATTTATGGATTGAGACTTCAGGCCTTTGAGGGCAAGTTCATCATCTCACAGTCCTCTTGCATTTGGCTAAAATAAATATACTGAGGCTTAAAATGTTAACTATTTCCATGTCTTCAGAGTATAATCCTCACACATTGTCCTGTTGCGTTTTGCCTCTTTTCCATTAGGGAAATGTGGTACAAGGTGAGCAAATTGGTCTTCCCTTGGCCACCCAGGGGAGGTTGGATAAATCCCGCCCTCCCAAATTAGCACCTGAATTTCTGGGTAGTTTTTAACTATGGACCGACTCTGGACACACGGTGTTGCTTGGTGTTTGTTTCTTATGGTGTTGCAGGGACTCCAAAACGCAGGTGTGCGCAGTCTATGTGAGGAAATTGGTGCTTCTCCTGCCTTTTGCAACATTTGGGATATTTCATCTTCACTTTTGGAATGGTTTTGGCATTTTAAATGACTCCCCAGAGGTACCCCCTGGATGCTGTGAATCTGCAGGAGTGTCCCCATGTGGGAACACATTGAAATCTGCAGTCCATATTATTTGGGGGGGTTAATGCAATGCTGTTTCTAGCTGAGTGCTTATAATTGAGGACTTGAAGGAGTTTCCAACCCTTGGTTTGGTTGCATCATGGTTCATCTGGGGCTTCATTCAGCAAAGTACCTAAGTGCATTTGGATCAGGATCACTGGGCCAGGCTAAAATTCTGTTGAGGCAAATTCAGTGTTTCTAATGAAAGAATGGAAATAAATAGGTCGATAAACCCTTCTCTCCCCCACAGAACCCCCCACCCATCCAAATACCTCTATCAAAAAAATGAGTGGACCAGTCTTCTCAGCACATGCAATTGGAAATTTAGCCAAGCTGAAGCCATATCCTGACCACCCATTGTCACTTATTACTAAACCGGAACATGTTGGAACACTGAAAAACCTCCTGAAACTGGGGTCAGCGCAATCTGTAAAGATCTGAAAATCTTATCCTGTGCTGCTCTTTTGTCAGTGATTTAATGAAAGCTGGATCTTGTTAGTAACAAGTGAAATTCCTGCGGGACAAGTAAGCCCAGGCTAATTTCTGGTGTTATATAGCCTAGCTTTATATATAGTTATATATAAAGCAAAGGAAAGAAGTGTCTGGGACAGCTGATTTAGGAGGAACTGCAGGAAGAGAAGAGTGGGAAAATCTCTAGCAATGAGCCCCTGTGCATTTGGATTAAACACCATTTAATGCCCTGGATTTGTGTCAACCTGACAGACTGATCCAAGACTTTATTTACGGCTGGTACAGGGCTGAACCGTCTCACGTGAGTGCTGCATGGGTGAGATGTGTGAGAAGCAGTGGAAAATCCCCAGATTGTGCTTTTTGGATGTGGAGCTTTTCCTCAAGCACCGTGAGATGCATCCTCAGGACTAACCTGAGCAGTGCATCAAGCTGGCTTCTCGTTTTGTTCAATATTCATGGTTTTCGCCTTGCTCCATCACTGACCTTCTGCTCTGCCAAATGCAGGTTGGGTGCACGGTGTTTTAACAGCTTAGTGAAATCTGATTAATGGGTGCAAAATATGTCACAGTTACAGTCTGCTGATTTGAAAATACGAATCGTAGCTCCTGTTTGTGTTCCTGTAATGCTTCGGGTCAGAGGAGCGGCTTGCTGATAGCTGTGGCTGTTTGAATGCACTGTAGTGTGTCAGATGGACAAGCCCTGCGGTGCTTTTGGACTTGACCAAAGTTTCAGGTAGAGCAGCTTCTGGGAAACCTACAAAAGCTGACCCAGGTGGGAGGCAGAATGGGGCTAAACCATGGGAAAATCTGCTGTAAAGCTGTTGCCATAAAGCTGGTGCCAAAGACATAAGTGTTTTGCTGGTGACTATTACCAATCAAAACCCAAATGCCTCTTTAAAGCTTATTTAAGTGATGTATCCTTTCTCTGTAATATAGGCCAGTCCAACCTCACATCGCTCCCTCTCTGGGGATAATGAAGCTGTGGAGGAGCTCAGGATAGTTTCAGGGGGTTTAAAGTTGGGAAATGAAGCTAACAAAAAAAGTCCCTAACCCCAAACATTCAAACCCTCACTTCAGGGTTCTCCTTGTAGGGCAGATTTGGGTGACTTTGCCAAATTGGGACCTTGGGAATGAAGCTGAAAGAAATCACCTGGGCAGCAGCAATAGCAATTTATGGCACTGACTCATTGACCCTTGCCATTGGGCTATCAGGAAGAAATAGGGAGAAGGGGAGCCTCTCTTGGGGGCTGGAAAATGAATGTGTGGAGGACCCATCGGGGCTTCCATCTTCTTCCTGCCCCAAAAGCTTTGAGCCTACGGAGCAGTTGCACTCTCCTCACTGCTTCCTCCACTTTTCTGAAGGCAAGACCTGCTCGGATGCCCTCCTGCTCTGGAAAGCGATAGTTAACCATGGTCTTGTGTCTGCTGTTTCTTGTTCGTTCGTGACTCTAATATTCCCACTTAAATGAGCAGAAATCATTTACGATCATCAATTGCTAATAATTCCTACAAATGCTGTCTCAATTCACATGGGCTGTATCTGCCGTGTTGCAGCAGCATCTTACTGTCCTGATGGTGCTGGAGTGGGTATTTGCATGTCCAGTGTAAGTTGCGTGATCAGACACTGTGGAATGCTACATCAAACCACCTACTTGGGCTCAATTTCTGCAGCGAGGAAGAACCTTGCATCCCCCTTCAAAGGATCAGCTGGGAGGTGAGCCCCTTTCCAAGTGATTTGTGGTCTCCAGTATTAATATATCTTCTCCCTTTTTGTCTTCACAGCCACCCAGATTGATCCCAGTGAACTACAGGAACTTTTTCAGGAGACTTCAGCCAACGTCTTCCGAATTAACTCCAACGGTGCGTATAATGAAAGGTTTCCTAGTCAATTGTGTGCTGTCCTGCTGATGACTCGTGTGTGTACACAGTGTATGGCAGCTCCTGTTGTCAGAGAGCAAATATTAACGCAGTTTTTCTGCTGCTGCATCTCACAAGCACCAGCACACGTCCAATACACAGTTCTTTATAAGATGTAAAAATATTCCACCATATGTTCCATTAAACAGGCACAGATATATTCCAATACTTGCTGAGACCACATCCTTTTCTATTTTTAATTGTGTCATCTGTTACAATGGGGAGTTAGAGCGCAGAAAGGTGGAACAAGCCAGACTAGTTTTCTAATGTGTTGCAGCAGTACTGTGTTCAAAGCCTGTCATGTAAGCTTGCAAAACATCTATCTCCCTTATAAAAACACCAACACCAAAACTCTTCTGTTATTTTTCACTCTGTGGATTGAGCAGGGATGCTATTCCTGCTCATGTCTCCCCAGACCCTAGAGATGCAGAGTGCTTCCCTCCTTTACAGACACGCTTTGGCTCATCAGTTTTGTTGGGCTGGGCTGGAGGGATGTATTTTGCAGATAGATATAAACTAACGTTGCTGAATGGTAGTTAATGTCATGGTATCCCAGTTCTAAAATACACTAGTGTCAGACAAGGATCTAAAACTATCGGGTGCTGATTTTATGGTGGACCTTGAAATTGCTTCTGAATCACCTGGACAGCTTCTCTGTCTGGTCTGTTCTGTGTCTATGGGGATTAGGTGACAGAGAGGGCTGGATTAGATGTGAAGAAAGGACCTTAGTGCCTCCTTATTTCTCTAATTATTCCCCTACATATCTCAGGGGTAAGGCCCCAGTCCTTGTAGCAAGGAATCCTTGCTAGAACTTCGCTTACAGATGGGTGTATAATCGTATTATAACTCAAAAAAATACCTGTATTAGCATGAATCTTGGTTGCTCCAGCACTAATAGTTTTACCTTGACAACAGTAGTGATGAATGGTAGTAGGATGTCTGCTACCAAACCAAGGGCTCAGTCTGAAGTTTTCCAACCTGCTCACAAGTCTGTGTGTGCTATTAATACCCAAACTAGCCAGGTTAGGGTTGACTTGATATGTCTCTGTGCTGTATTCACAACTCCGGCTGTAGTGGAGTCTGTCCTGAGAAACCTTTAAGATGAGTGGTGCATCTTTTTTGAAATGCCCCAATCCAATTTCTCTTTTTATTCTGTGTTAGAATTGCATTAATCCATTCAATTAGGTTTTGAGCAATTTCTGGTGGTCTTTGTTTCTCCTCTGGAGATGGTGTAGAGTGTGTGATGGTGTGCTTGCTGTTAAGAGTTGCCTGTACTGAGGGCTCTGAGAAGCAGGTAATGACAGTGCCTGTACTGAAAACTACTTTGCAAAATTGGAGAGAGTACAAAGAAGAGCTATGACAACTGTTTGAAGTCTGAAAATCAGACTTTAAAATGCATGCTATCCGAACTTCTGTCTGAGACATCTAAGAGGACTTGATCATGGTGTGTAAGTACCTCTCTGGGAAGAAAGACATCAAATAGATAGCATAGGGCTCATTAATCTAACATTCTTGCACATAACGAGATCAGGAGATAGGAGCCAAAGCTAGACAAATTCAATCTTTCTGTATGAGGATAACTAGCCATTAGAACTGCTTATTGAGGGGACGTGATGGATTTGGCATTGCTTCGAACCTTTAAATCAAGATTCGAATGTCTTTTTATAAGATATACTTTAGTCCAGCTACAGTCTACGGTCTTGATGTAGGAGTGATGGGACAAAATTTTATGGTAGGAAATCAGATTGGATAATCAGAATTGCTCTCTCTGGCCTTTAAAATCTATGAATCTATGAATTTATAATGCTTTTTAAAGTGCTTTTAGGTTGAAGAAATGCCCATAAGATACTCTACTGTTGTTGCTCTGTTCACCAGCCATATTGTTTTTTGTCTGCTAAAGTCAGTTTCATTCAGTTTGTGTGTGGTTTCTTCGCAGCTTTTCCCCCAAAAGTGAATACAGCTTTTCAGGAAAGGGATGCTGAATGTACTGCTAAGGTTTGGCAGAGCTAATCCACATTAGGTAAAGAACTGTGTAGGGTTATAAAATGGGAAAAGATGCCCATGATCCTTTCTGCCCTGTACAGCTGTACCATATGGTCTCTTGAGGAAACTCAGCAAGCTCTGCCTCCGAGCGTGTAGCAAAAGTCAGTGCTGCTGTTTGTGTACGACCACGCAAGCAGCTGAGCAAGGAACGAGCAGCTGCATTGCAGATGCTCACCAGATGACGGTTTGCACTCCGCTTGTGCTGAGCATGGTGTGTTGAACGTCCTATAGGGTTGCATAAATCCAATCACAGCTCCTCTTTTCCTTCTTTTCCTGCCTTACCCCAGACTCTTTAGGGTTTTCCAGGTTCCCATTGTGTCTGGAGACCAAACCGTGCACCTGTAATGCTCTTCTCCCTCTTGGGATGCTAAAGATGTCACGAGCTCCCCATGCTATTCTCATGTTTAGATTCTCAAAATGCCAGGTTGCGGGCAGTCTTGGCTATGTTTTTTCTGTCTTTGGGGAATGACTGTTTTTAATGAAACAAGAAGTCGCCTTTTTACTGGGATTTTAAAGTAGTGTTGATTTTTATTGAGTAACGCTACAGAAGTAATCAACACTGCATGTTTTGTCCCTCTTTGCACTCCTTAGTCTTTCTGCAGAACTCTGAGCCTTTGGGATGATTTAAATTCTTCTTGGGCAGTTCAGGACTTGCCTCCTGACCAAGGGGGATCTTTACAATTCTGAGCTGATCTTGGCTGATCTCACATATAAATGCCTCCTGCTCCCTTTTTCTGCTATGAAAATGGAAATCTTCCTCATGTGTTGAATAAAAATCTTAGCCAGGACAGTTGGTTCTGTTTATGTGCTATTGAATCACTGTCCTGCCAGGTCGTGAGCTTACAAACTTTTTTTTAGCCCATCTCTAACTGAAGTGTCCAGGGGCAGAAGGAGTTTTTCTCCTATTCTTTGCATCTGCTTTCTTTCTCTAACTCTTTGGTGGCTGTCCCTGTTGAGCATAGGGAAGGTTGTCTGATAGTGCTTTGACTTATGCAAGTTTTATGGGGTTCTTTGTTCAGTTGATTTTTCCTTTCCGGGGGAAAAAAAACACAAAAAGAAGCTCAAATACTGGCTGAATTTGTCTTATTGATGGCTTTTTTCTACTTACTTTTATTAACGTTTTGCATTTCTTTCAGTGTACAGCTTTTAGATGCCTCTCAGTAAATGCCTTATAAATAAGTAAAATAAATAACACTCGTAAAAGGGGTTGGTTTGGTGCATCTTGTCTAGAGGGCTGATCAGTGGAGGATATACTGGAGGACTCAGACCTGTTCTGGCCAGATGGAGAACCTGAGTGCTCTAATGGGTCTCTTCCCTCTCTAATTCCTGTAACTTGCTCATTAATGACTCCCCGTGACAGGTTGGTGCCATGCGCAGTCCCATTACCTTGATCTGAGAGGCTGAGCAAAGGATTTTTCAGCATCCCCCAGGTGTGATAAAGTCTCTATTGCCATCTCAGGATGGTTTCTTATCCCCCGTTGATTTTAAGGATTGCAACGGCATAGAGAACTGGTGCCAAACTCTCGGTTTATGTAAATCGGTGCAGCTCCAACAGCAGTGATCTCTTCTGAATGTGCCTCATCCTAGAGGACTAGCGTATGCCTTTTAAAAACTAAGTGTACACGGCTTTTAAAGATATCTGTTTTAACACTGGCTTCACAGCATCTCTCCAGCACAGGTTGACACCTTGCTCCTTTGGTAGAGTTATTGCTCGCGTGGCCAGAACTGGTAAATTGAGAGGGATTTTCCACATCCAGCACAGGAACTACATAGATTTTGATAGAGCAGTTCTTGGTCAAAGCAAGTTAGATTTACCCCAAAATAGCTCAGTCTCCCTGAGATCCAGGAGACTCAAGTTGGAGTCTCAGTCCTGCTATTTCCCAGGTAAGAGGCATATCAAATGCCAAACTTCGGCTATTCCAGAGTCCATATCTTGTCCTTTTGGGACAACTAACCTTTATGTAAGTGTGTAAATATTATGCTCAAATTAGAATTATAGATAAAATTTTAGGATGGGGACTTAAACTTGAGTAATTTTCTTACCTGACTGACAAGTGCTTTCCTCCTCTTTTGCATTCCTGTCTCAGATTCTTTTGCCTGTATGTGTATTTTCCAAAATATTTAACAAATGTGAAAGGTCTTGGGTTTGCCTCAGTGTAAAATGACATGTGCGAAGCCTTGAACAGTTTTTTGCAATAGGAAAGCTGCTTCCTACTCCAGTCTTCTCCAAAGGAGGCAGTAGCAAAGGTCTGAACTGTTTTTGAAGAGAACTGCCTGCATATCAGATCTGTCTTCCATCAACCTCCTCTTCATTTGTAGGAAGATACTAGCAGAATAGCTTTCGCTTTGAATTGTCCTGATTTGGCAGTTCAGGTTAGAAAGGTGCCTGGATGCTGTAGCTGCTGTTTTCCTTTCTGGACTTACACACATGTCATTAACACGTTCTTAGAAATTCAGTGTCCTCACAAGTGCTTTTTCTACCTTGACTTGCTGTCCGTTCTCCAAGGACCACTCTCTGCATTGTTCTGAAGGGTTGATGGGCCCAGAAGTATTTTTAGATGATGCCAAATTTTGTCTTTGAAACAGACAGTATATAGATTGCATGGGAGATTGATTTGTTAGCATTGTGGAGGAGGGAAGAGAGGGAATTATAATGTCTGTGAGATCTCTGCAGGATCAATGCTGTTCTAGAGAAGCAAATGGTTATTAGTGAAAACTTTCAATTTATTCTTTAAAACATTATGCATCCAGCAAAGGATAATAATTATTAGCTCAGTTATAGACAATTCCTTGAGGCTTTATCTTACTGAATTGCCAAACTCTACACCAAAATCTGTTTTTGAGATCTAGCAAGTGGGGTGAAAATACATGGTGGTATTCAAGCTTGTTTTGAATACTCATGTTGTCCAGGTACATTAGTTACTTTTTATGCTGTTTAGTGACTCTTGCTGTCAACCCAGAGAAGCCCAAAAGAGAAGAGGGGATTTTGTCTGTTAGTAGAAAAATAATTAAGTGACTTTTTCAAAGTTACAAGCCAAGTCCAAGTCTGTAGAGTCATTAAAAGAGTGGATTTCTTCAATTTCTATGGAAATAGTTGAGCCATGTTTCTAATCTGTTCTTTTTTCCTTCCTTAAATATTGAAGCGTGACTGATAACGGGTTATGAGTTTTTACAACTGGAAGCATCCTGAGAAAATCCCACATGTAAATATCAAGAATGTAATTTATTTAGCATCTTTCATTGTGGAAGATCTTGAAGTGCTTTGCAAACTTGATACACTAAGTCCAAAAGTAGTGACCTGCTGTTAATTTGAGGGTGAATTTGAGACAGTGAACATTCAAGGGCGTAAAAAGGCAACAGTACTCCTAGATTTCTGCTACTTTTTTATATACACACACACACGCACATATATTTCTTAAATCTGAAGTCACTGCGTATTGCAAAACAAACCATGTTTCCAGCTTCCAGCTGCTTTTAGGGTAGAGTATGCTCCTCTCCTGATGAAAAAGCCCAAGAAACTCTCTGGCTCAAACACAGGAGATGGTTACAGCGAAGCACTCAATTTTATCTGAGCCAAACGTAGAAAAGATTTTGAGTGTTAAAGTCTTGAACAATGTGATAGAAGATACCAGAATGGACAACAGTGCTCTGTCTCTTATTCAGAGCAATGAATAGTTACTATGCAATTTCTTGCGTCTTCATTGAGGGCACGTTTCCAGCTGGAGATGCTCCGTGCACAGTTCTGCGGGGCCTCAAGGCATGGACCTCCTGAGGAGGATAAGCAGTGGTTTCCCACTCCCAAGAGTGCTGCCCCGATCTCCTGGCAGAAAGCACAACTGCCTCCAGCCCTGGGAATTTCATGCAGTTGCTGTAATATGAAGAGTTAGAAAGTTTGGGGCTGGAAGAGTCAGAGATCTGTGCAAGGTCCATGGGATGGAGGTTTTCTTGCTGTTATAAGGAGTCATACCTTGTCATGTCATGGCGCGATATGTGGATTCACCATGTATGCATCCAAGGGACCCAATTTATCCATTTTGGGGTAATGGCTCTTGCTAGATGTTGTCCCCTTTGTCTCGTGAGTTAATTGTCCAAACAATACTTCATTGTATTGTTTAAAAAATAAAAGATAAACAAATGAATGACAGTCCAACTTTTTTTTCTCTGAAAAAAAGTGTACTGCTGCTTTATCTTTTCTTTCTCTGCTGTTGACAGTGACCTCTCTGGAAAGAAGCCTTCGATCTCTGGGGACCTCAAATGATACTCAAGAACTGCAGGATGGACTGTGAGTTTGTTTTGAATTGCTGCAGATCTCTCTTTGTCCTAGACTTTTCATTTTATTCCTCATCTATCCTCACCCTTTCTTCTGTCCTTTTTTATATCTGGACACTTTTTTGTCAGGTTTACTTTGTTTTTTTCCTTTCTGTCGGTGATTAATGATGGTAGGACGTGTATTGATCGTATAAAGCTTTGCTTGTGCTGGTTTCAGGTGGCGGAGAATGGTAGGCAGATAACAGAAAATGATAGCCCACAGTGAAAGACGGTTTTCTGTGCTTGTGTATGTGTTGTTATTTTTTGTTGTTCATTGTTTTTTGTTGTTGGGGTTTTTTTATTTATTTTTAATGTGAAGCCAGAGTAGGATGCTTGTGTAGCTTTCTCTTTTTTTTTTCTCCCCCCTGCCTCGCACTTTGCCAAAGACCATGAACCCAAGAGAAGAAAAATTGAGAAGGAGCAAGAAGATATTTTATAGGCGGAAAAGTGTGTTGCGGTGTTGAAACCTGCATCACACAGCACAACACTGAGAAAATGAAACTTTAGTTTCACTTGCAATAGATACAGTTCATTAAACTCTCTCTTCTAGATATGTGTATACACAAACACGCACAGTTAGTTTTCATTGTACGCATGCTAATTAGAGAATTAAAATGGCTTTTCCAAATGTAGCACAATTTATTAAAGCTGCTTCCCTTAATGCAGCTTGCATGCAAAAATCAAGTACTTAGGATGTGGCTCTGATCTCGTGTATATGACTGCAATTCCTGCTGAGATTCGGCTATGAACAAAGGGGGGAATTTGGTTTCTGTTTCTTTATATTGGCTTTATACACTGTAATTTGCCTAATGGACTTGACTGACCTTCTCAATGCAATATAAACTCTCAGACAGTTTTGCAGTGTCTCCTTCTCTCTCCAATCCATTGCTTTCACCAGTACATCAGATCTGCCCTAATTCACATATACTCTGTTTTGCAAACTTGAGGATTAAAAATAGTAATAGTAATAATAGTCAGAAGATTTGGAACTAAATTTAGGAGATTGGAGAGGATGTAAGAGTAAAAAGTCAGTCTGTGGTGATAGATGTAATCAGGAAAGATGTTTACATATACAGAATTCTTTGTAGCATAAACCACCTTAGTAACTGCTGGAGGTCCTTAACCGAGGAAAGCCTTTCGATCATACAGAGCAGCTATTGTGCTTGCACACCTAAAATATTCTTTTTTTTATTTAAGAATCAATTCCTTGACTCTTCAGAGCATTTCAAAAACATGCCTAGATAATTTTCTTCTTTCCTGAGCAGTTACGTAAATAGATGCATAATGCACTAATTGCAATAATTATTTTTGATCTCGGAATTATCATTAATTGTCCAGATAGCTAAATGCAGCTTATTTTTATTTTAACTGTTTTTCCCTGCCCCTGCCGTCAGCCCCAGAATTCCTCCAGCTGTCTCCTTCCGTTCTCCTGGTTCATCCCCTCTCCCCATTCTTCCACTTGGCTCATTGCATCTCCGGACCGAACAGTTCCAGGGTGCCAAGCCGAGGAGGACAAGCAGCTCTTTTCCCCTCAGTTCTCCCATTCTTTTGTCCTGTCCTAACGCTGATGTGTCCTTCCCATTGCCCCTTATTTCATCGCCAGATGCATGCAAGCAGCCTTGAATGCTCTACAAGCATCTCTGCCTGTCTCTCATGAGAGCTGCACCAGCAAAAAGCAGTATGCCATGAATCATGAGATCTGGCAGTGCTGCATATATCTCCATGTTCAGGAACAAGCAGAGGGTCAGCTCTTCAGGTGAGAACTTTGGGGCAGCATTTTCTGCTTCCCCGGCTGCAAATCATGGCTTAATCTTCCTCCTTTGCCACTTGACCCCTTTCCTTCAAAGGTTGATGCATATTTCTCCTTGAACATCCTCTAACTTGGAAGCTGGTTGGGGGGCAACGAGTGAACATTTGGTAGGCTTATAGCCTTGGCTATTAGAAAAACAATAGTGTTTGTGGGTATTTAAATAGTAAAATTGCCACACTTTCTACTTTTGTACTAGGTGACTGTCACTCTGCCTAAAATAAGACTGTTAGGCAACTGGGGAGAGGCAGAATATTTGGGAATAGGGCTTCATGGTGCATAGTGGTCCTGCCACATAGGATATTTAGCTACCATAGACTGTATACTGCAAAAGAATTTGCTTACCTAGCTGCAGGGTCCTGCTAAAACAGAAAAAAACAAAGATGCCTGACTCCTTTTAAAATTAATGCAGACTTTCTGCCTCTTAGGCACAGGACTTACAAGGGCATGGGGTGAGGGCAGGCTTCTTACTGTCAAATTGGGCTACTCCCTTTTCTGAAATCGTTTCTCTCCCTTTGATAGTTGAGTCATTCAGAGTAAGGACTTTATCTGTGGCAAGTGAATTTGGGAGAGTTCATCCCAAATGGAGTGCCAGCTTTAGTCAACGAGACAAACTTGGCTGCTGATGTGTGATTAGGGTATATATGAGACCTAACAGTGAATAATCTTGGTCAGAGCTCTTCCCGGAGCCAGCACAAATACTTGTGTGCTGCGTTCTTGGAGCTAGAAGTCCTGGCCAGTGAAACATAAAAAAACCGTAAGAAGTTCTAGACAGCGTTGGCTGAATGCAACTGACCCTGGATTAATCGGGAAGGGAATGGGAGCAAAAGGAAAAAAGGTCCATGGAGCTGGGGTGAGGAGCTAGGGCTGGTAGGCAATGCTGATGGCTTTCTCCAGTGATGCTTGGCTGCAAACAGCTTGTTAAGTACTGATATGTTGCAGGAAAAATCGACTGATCCCCCCCCCCCATCTTTGGTTTAATAATCCAAGCTCCCAAGGCATTTATCTGCCTCCTTAGCCAGAGGGTGTGGGATGAGGGGGTTCTCCAACATTAGGCACTGAAGATGTCTAGATTGTAATTTAAGTAAATAAAATTAAATGCCCAGATAAAGCACTGCCTCCAAAAGACAGTGAAAACCAGTCTCTATTCTTGTGAGTGGGCATGTCTGGTTAGTCTCGCAGCACCCTCAAAAAAGAGGCTTGAAATGAAAACATCCCTGTAACCTTGGCAATGCTTTCTGAGAAGTATGATATGCTCCCCTGTATCAGTCTTGCCCACATTTCTTCATTACTGACCCAACACATCAGGGGTGAAGGATGCCTTTGCCCAGCTGAACGCAGAGGCTTGGGTTCAGAGGCATCCCCTTTTAAATGTTACTGTAAAGATGAGGCTTGCCTGTGTACCACCAGATTTTTTTTTTTTCCTGAGAACAAAATTTACTTTTTTTATTATTAAAGTTAGCATTGTTTAAAAAAAAAAAAAATTAAAAAAATAGTCCTGCATTTTTTCACAACCTGACCCAGTCTTATTGTGACCCCAAGAAAAGAAAGGTGGTCATGCAGGTTGCAAGTAGCATTTGATGGCTACCTCGAAGCCATGAGACTGAGCTTTTAGTGCCATGAAGGGTCCTTGATGCCCTTTCTGTGGAGGCTGGTTGACCACAGCAGCGATCCGTGCTCTTCAAACCAAGTTTCCTGTATTTCTTATTTCAGTGAGGAGTATATCTCCTTGTTGGACATTTGACCTTAGCTCATTGCATGTGCAAGGTCAAGAACAATATTGCATTGAGTTACAGTCAGAGCTTACTACCCTTTTTTAAGTGTGTCTGGGATGTAGCCCATGAGTCTTCACTCTGTGGCATTTTTGGATCCTTTACCAGTCACTAGCAGAAGAATGTGCCTGTTTAGGGAGGAGTTATAAGAAGGATATTTTGGGGGATTTTAGCACTGATGAGGTTTTCGAGTGTGTCCATACTGCAAAATGTGTTGATTTCTCCTCATGCGAGGAAAAGCCCAGATTTTATCTTCCGCTTTCCTTCTCCCATTGCCATTAATTTAAAAAAAAATGTGCACATTATTGAAATACGTAGGGTTTTTCCTGCAACTGAGAGAGGGCTCAGCTCTATATCTGTACAGTGTGAGAAAATAAACCTGCTTTTCTGATTGAGTTGATATAGCAATCCTGGTTAAGATGGTGCACAGCAGAGAATTCCTATGGCCATAGCCTGAATGTCCCATCTGAGCAGTATTAGTGAATATATACCCAGGAAGGGCTCACTGTGGAACACTGACGAAGCGCATGCTTTTTGATGTATAGTACTTTAATGATTTTATTAGGGCTATGCTGCAGAACTGATTACAGTGCAGGACTGCAAAGGAGTTTCAAAGTATTTTCCAAATGGAAAGCTCAATTTGAGATCTGAGCTGCTTTGGGGTGAGAAAGGCAGTGGTCCTGCAACAGGCCAAAAGTGCAGCTTTTGGATTGCTGCTTGTATCTGCCTTTTGGCCAAACATTAACTTCACAAGGCACTTGTTTTCCCTAGGCATGCAAGTTGTGCCAGAATACATATATAGTTTGCCATATTCTTTGCTGGGATTAGAGGGAACTCCATCTTCCTCACCCTTCTGCAGGCAATTTGCCACATCACCAGCAAAAATCTGGGGGGGTGAGTAAAATCACTTCTTCAGCTTATTTTGCCACCACCCAACCCTGAAATCAAGTGATACCTATGGTGAAGCAGTGCCAATGCGACGTATGCAGGGTGCCCCATTTGGGATGCTCTTGCAAAGAGAAGCATCCCTATCCAACCTTGAAGTACCTATGAACAGCAGGAGTCAACTAAAGAATGACAATGAGCTCTTAGCGCACGCGGGCTCAGTCCAAGGTGGTTTACTGGATTTGTAGAAGTACTTTTGAAACACGTTGACATTGCAGGACATAATCGTTAAGTCTGTGACGGATTGGACCCAGCCATGGTGTTTGCATGGCACAGGTTGTTTATATCACCTATGTTGTGGATAAGACACCTAAAGGTAGGTGTCTTCGTGAGCCTACATGAGCTTCATCTATGGTGTCTGTCAAGCTTCAAGTTCATCCTGATAAGATAGATGACTCTTGAGGCTACTGAAATGTCCCAGGGTGTCTGAGACATATATGTGGGGCTGGC